TCATAATTGTGAGAATGTGTGCTTTGCTCTGTTTCATATCACTGTAAACTCAATATCTCTGGACTTTAGACTGTTAATCAAACAAACAAAAAAAGCAACATAAAAATGTCACCCTGGGCTTTTGAAAAGTGGCATTTTCACCATTTTCTGACATTTTTGTGACAAATAAATTGATTTATCTGTAGAATAATTGATAATGGATGCAGTCATTGGTTTCAAGAGTTGATAAGTGCAAGATTAAGTACTGTAATGAACGTGAGCTGTGTATAAAATGTGGGCCACTTTTACCTGACACGCCCCCTGCCACGTAGACGGCCATCATGACTCCCAGAGTGAAACCAACATGGATGGTCAAAGGCTCCCCGAGAGCCCCTTTACTCAGCACCGTCTGGGCCACTGAACCACATCCAAAGAGCTGGGACACAGACAAGAACAAAAACACAAAGGGTGGAGGTAGAAAGACTCATTGTTTTTAATTATTCCAATTATACCCACCATTAACACTAGCCCTCTTGTCCACCAACAGCCTCCGACTGCCACAGGCAATTTGTCCTACTTGGAGCCCCAAAAAAAAATAATGAACCCCCCCATTTATTAGGTAAATGGCAGAAGTAAAAAAAAAAAAAAAGGTTATGGGAGGAGACCAATAAAAAGGGCTGTTGTAGAGGCTGCATCTCTCCTCTGAGTTGGTATCACAGGCATTAAAGTGGCCTCAGAGAGGTGACAGGTGGAGCTCAGGGATGACAGGTGGAGGCGAGGACAGTCCTGACACATAAGGACTGAGAAAGCAGGACATTCTTTCAAGGAATCATCAGGGAACAGAAAAACAATGATGTGTACTGCAAAGAGAGATGATCATGTCCTATAATTAAATTCTTTTCATAACCTCATCACTGAGAGACAATGACTTATTACAGCTATAATGATTCACATTTGATGTCACACTGCACTTCTGGAGGAGTCATGAGGAAGGAAAACAGTCCCACATCACTCACATCTTGTTCTGATTGTCAGGAGCAAATTACAGCTGAGCACATCAAAGACAAAGTCTGTTACTCGCAGAATATACTATCTGTTAATAGAGACATATGAGAGACAGCAGTCAGAGTCCCGGGAGACCCAGTTTGACACATTATTAGCATACTAGTTCAAAGCTTAAAGCGGCTGTTTAAGCTGGATGACAGGTGCAGAGTGAGGTACTCACTATCAGGACAAATATCCCCAGAAATTCCGCCAGGAACTCCTTAAAGATGTCCCGCCTCAGGCCAAATCTCTCCTTCATCTTCCTCTTGCTTTCATTTTCCATGTTTTTTTTCCTCCTGCGGCTCCTTGATGTCTTCCTCCGAGCAGAACAAACAGCTAACAACTATGAGGGAGTCTCTGTGTGATTGTCAGTGCAGGTTGCCGCCTCCCACTCGGTGCGCTCGGGCCGTGCAGGCTGACAGGCACGTTAAGCTTTCTGCATCTATTTCCCTTTATAACCACAAGGGGTCTACTTTTATTGGAAATATAGGCTCCAGAGCATTGCACTGACATCCACACCAGATGCTTAGAGAAATGTAATAGCCTTTATTTTGTTTGCATTCAGACTACTTTTGAAAGTTTTTTTAGATATACAAACTACAGTGCATTGGGCTGCACATTGAATTAGGATATTATACGACTTTAAAATGTCTTTATATGTATTTTCTTAAATGAGAGGCTGCTTTAGCAATAAAACCATGAAAGATAAGCTAAGATAAGATAAGATGGATCATATTTTTCCCAAAACATATCTTATATTTTAATAGATGCCTAAACTCACAGCCATGAGACTCAGATACACTGATGTCCAAAATGAAATGTGAATAATTTAGAAAGATAGATAACCAACTCTCAACTGGGACTGGTGGATTGAAAGTCTCAAATGTAGCATTTATCACCAACAATTAGGTATATTAAATTCAAAAGTATAAACGAGCAGCCACTAATCACAAAATATTATTTAGTTTAAAGCTGTGTGAGTAGCAGCTACTGCCCAGTGAAAATATTACATATAAAGGTTATTTATTTATGTATTTATTGTTCATTCGGAGGTTTGACACACAATTTAGGATGTTGATGAAGTTTAAAAACAATACTTTGACTCCGTGCAAATCTAAAAAAATGTGGGCAAACTAAAAAAGGTCAATTAAAAGTTTATTTTTTAAAAGTCTTTATATTTCTAGCAGAATGTAACGTGGATAATATCCAGTTTAGAAGATTGAGCCCTTCTAGTTTTCAATATGCAACTATTACTGTCTTAATTCAGACGATTATTTTAAGCTATTTGACAGTTTTAGCTGTTAATACATTTATCAATTTCAAATTATATGTTTGCGTCATGTTGGCATTTAAAACACTTTAAAAAAGCACTTTTAAAATCACCTTTGGGAAAATAAAAAGCTACCAATTCGCCTGCATGAATCGGCCGGCATGTGTCTTTTTAAAAGTCCCACGAGAATTTTAAAAAATAATGATGGTCAAATTTATTGCTAAATGCCAAAACACAAATTCGCCAGAGTGATGTATGAAAAATATAAAGAGAGATTTATATTTTTGACTTTATGTGAGCGAGTGCCAGTTTTCACACGCTTTGTGTCCCTTTAGGGTAGATTTCCACCCGTGGAATGCTGTACATATAATGAACTATTATATGTTGGATTATAAAACTGACCATGTAGCGTGTGTGTGAGAAAATGTGACAGAAAGTAATTGAGCATTACATTAAAGATGACTTCATATCTGCGTGTTTTCCTATAGAATTATAGTTTTAAAAAATGTGGGAAATTAAAAATCTAAAAACCTCCATATTCCTCTATATTCAGTTATTTATTTTTGAAACTTGTCGGGGAAACAGCTTCCCAGAGCTCGTTGCATTTTTGTCACTTTTCCTTTTCCCACATCAGAAAGTTTGTAAAGTTTCCTCACTCACCTTTCTCCATGTAGCTCCTGCTGTTTCCTCTCATGAGTCAAATTCCCATTTATCTTGTCACTCTCCTTTCTTGCTGTTACAATTACCTTCCCATTTACCTGATTAATCCGCTCGTTGTAAACACTGTTAAAACTATGAATAATATGTGAGTGTGACTGTGGAGTGTCCGAGGCCCGGTCCATCCAACAGAGGGAGCTCCATGAATACATTTGAAGTGCAGCGGGCTCTGAAGTTTGTCACACCGGCATGTCTTATCTTCCGTTCACTGGGCTCTGTGAAAAGGTGAGGCGACAGGCTGAGGATGGGATGTTTTCAATGCATTAATCAATGTCACCGTTTGCAGGCACCGTTTCCTCTTTGATGTGAAACAGACACTTGGAGAGTGTTGCCCATGCTGTGAAAAAAGGATGATGTGCTGATGGAGAAACAGCATCCTCCGGGGGTTTGCAAATGATGGGCCTACATCTGTCTCTCCACACTCCTTTGTTCTGTCAAGAGGCGCAGGTTATGAAATCTGAAAATTTAAAGGCCCTGTTGCTGCTGATTGGGGAAATTATCCTGAGCTTGTTTGTAAACTACATCGTCATCCCACTGAGCACAGATACACTTCTCTCCCTCTCTCTTTATCTCTGACCACAATCTAAAACCACTAATAAACTCCTGGTCTGTTACCTAAGTGTCGTCATGCATGTATGAGGATATACAGCTGTAGATGTGCTAATACATGTGTGGCTTTGCTTTAATACCTTTAGCTTTCTGAGACGCTCGCAGCTGATTGATGGATGTTTATTGGGAGGTTTAAAGGAGGCGCTGGAAGGAATTATCACCTGCAGGACAAATCTCTGCCAACAACACCCCAGCAAGTAGCAGCAATCCCTCTAGTCCACATTTACATAACATCTTAGAGCGTGGGGAGGTTGTGTTAGGCAAATAAAGGCCACAGGGTGAGAGTGAGCCAAGGGAAGTAGTTTAACACCTTTATGCCACGAAGGAAATGGTTAATGATGATGTAAGAATGTAAGTTTATATATTCAGTGAAGATGCATTTATAGGTATTTGTGGACAAGGGTGCAGGTTTTTTTTTAAATTGGGGGGCACACATGAACCGAGGGGGGGTTGAGGGTCCTCTGTCATTAATTTCATGCATTTTGGGGAGTTTTTACACACCAATTTGTGCATTTTCTGTATCAGTTTATGGTGTAAATGTCTTTAATTTTGCCAAAATAAAAGTTCTCCATGTGCAAATGCATATGTTCTTAACATTGAGGGGAAATCCACACTTATGTTTGTGGAGACTTGTTTTTTTATAATGTCAAAAGTGAAGCTTCTGGAGGTTGCATATCTATGGTTGTGTAACAACTGATGAAGTTGACTGATGACTGATGACTTTTTTATGAATTCATTCATACCTGTGTCTATAAAGCTTTTAATAAATGGCAGATGAAGCCAGATCTGGCATTGGATTATGAAGATTTGCTGATTTTATAGGGATATTTTTAGCATATGATGTTATTTATTTATTTATCTTTGTGTTTCCTGTTGCTAACCTGGGTATAATGTCAATTTGTCAATGTACTTTGTTGTATGTTGTATTTTTTGTGTGGCTGTACTACGGGTGAAGGGCCCAAGACACATTCCCCCCCTTATAGGACAAAAGTTACTCTTGAATTTTAAGGAAGATGGCACTTAAAGTCAATAGCTCCTAAATGGACCCTTTGGAGATTATAGTCACCAAAGGGGCCAAACTCTTAAAAAAAGTAGTCCAATGCCATTTAAAACTTGCAGCCTTATCACTGGCTTCAGATAACATTATACCTGTGATCAACATAATGATCAGTTCCACTCTTGATAAGTCATGTCGAAGTGTTTTAATATGTGTTAAAGTACAGCAAACCGTCGTGTGCTGGTGAAAGCAGTGGAGACGGAGTGTACCGGGAGTGTGAGGTGGGTGGGGTGGATGTTTCTCCTCCTTAACACGCATGGTTGAGGTCGTTTATGTAAATGCGTGAATTTAATTTTCAAAAGGACGGCCCTTTTCTTTGCCCAATGAAAATGAACCGCGGCTGACACCTGGCTATAAACCCAGGAAGAAACCCAAAGTCCTAATCAGAAATCTGTTGTAAAAAACCCCGAGAGGCGCAGCAGGCACACGAGTGGAGAGAGACGGCCGCGATGACTTCCAGTAAGATCGAGATCCCCGGAGAGGTGAAGAGCGACCCCGCTGCTCTCATGGCATCCCTCCAGCTGATGCCCTCACCGGTGCCCAACCCGGAGATCAAGTACACCAAGGTCTGTTTCTCTACACACTTCTCTCCGACTTCTCTCCGACTCGCTTTGCGCGTAAAACCACTCCGCTTCTGCTCCTAGATCATGTTTGCGTCTTTAGACCAAAACTTTCCCCCAAACTTTTCATGTGTGTCAGCGGCTGGAACTCGAGTATCAGCCCGTGCAGCTCACTCAGGGCTGGAGCTGATAAACTTCTTCGCGCTAAACTCTCTAACTTTCAGCACAGACCTGATAAAGTGACGATTGAAGGCTTTAAAGTCCCGATGAGTCTCTTCTGCGTCCACGTGCTCAGTGTAGCTCTGGATTTAATAATCAATAACCATAGACAACACTAAAGACTAGATAATAAGACATAATACACTATACGGATATCTGTGTGCGTGTTTTCTTGCTTTCCTTTTACTTAATTACAAGAAAAGAAAAAATTTAAAGTAGTTTTTTAAATCTTCAGATTTTAGTCAGTGGATTTTGATAAAATCTGATAATTGATTTTGGCTTTAATTTCAGCCACTTATAATTACCACAATATGGGGCGCAATAAAGTATTGATAAGGGTGTGTCATAGTTTAAGCTTGTTTAGGAAAGTGCCTTAAAATTTATATAAGACTGAGTCACGAGGACATTTTTTTATTACTTTTATTATATATATGTATTTTTTAAAATTTGTTTGGTGTTGCACCTGAAGACACAGACCAACAACCTTTCAGTTTCCTGCATTAGAATCCAATAGATGAAATATATTTTTCAATTAAAGTCGCCTACTAAAGGGATATTAAACATGTAATTAAAGGGATAGTTATAAAATTTAGAATACTACTACATTTCATTTTTTGCACTATGATTATAATGTTATACCACATTGTGTTTGTGGTGTCCAGCTTGTCCTTAAGTTCTTAATAAATCTTTGACGGTGAAAAATAATTTTAAGTATTAGTAGCAAAGGTTTGTGTATAGACAAAACAGCCCACATTTTTTATCTGCCTGTTCTTGAAGTCTTTTCCTACAATAACACTACACATACACTTTGGTCACGTCCAAAGATTTGGCAGTAATTTGAGGCATTATCTCGTGGTTATATGACAGCAAGTTGGTTAAGCGAATAAATGGTTTGATTTAAAATACACAGTCGAAGAATAAATGTGTTATCAGAGCAGGTTTTGGATCGTCCTGCAGTCAGAAATGTGTGGGTGGGAGGAAAGGGGTGCAGAAACAGCTGGAAAAAGGGAGCTTGAGTCATGACAAAAATCAAGTTGCAGATATGACTAAAAAAATGCTTTCACAGAGATTTTGATCAAACATCTGGTGAGGATAAGTCCTGTATTAGAAGGTGAAGTGCTTTGTCACCATAATAAATAAATAGCAGTCATTTTACTATTGCACAACTGAGGCAATAAATAACCAGTGAATCTCATTCTCTTATTTTCTCATTAAAGTTTTTGAGCGTTCGTGCTTTGAATGTGAGTCTTGACCCACCGCAAGTCTTGAGCCAGTTACACACATGTTGAAAATAGCCTGTTTGGCAACATCTCTGCAACGTCTTGATAGTTTTGTCTTTTTTTACACACACACTGAAACACTTTGAAGTAAATTGAAGTCATTAGTTAAAGATCCTGAGAGATTCTTGTACTGTTTACTGTGATTTTTGGGGGGTTGAGGTCTCATCGTGAGCCATAGCAGCCAGGATGTAGTCTTGCTGCTACTGAGAGCCTCTCTTAGCTGCAGAGCAAGTTTTTGTATGAGATTAAAGGGCACGTCTCACAGAGGTCAGATCCCTGATAGCATGTTGTAAGTTCAGCCAGGGCTGTAATTGTTTAATTTTTATACATACCTCTGTGTTTTAAGTTCAAAGGGCACTCTGCTGCTGTTGCTGTTACCGCACCGTAACGAGGACGATAGTGTTGTATCGGCTCATGTTGTGTTGTAAGCTTTACATTCCCTCACAGTGCAGAGTGTTAGTTAAAATGCGCGGACACAACAGTGTACAGGAGGAAATTTAGGGAGCGACTTGGTGAATTAACCCCCAGGAATTTGGATCATCCAGTCCCTGTTGGTTTGGTGGACATAGGGGGCAGAAGGGCCCTGATTTATGGGAACCCCTGGCGTGGGCTCTCCTCACACCCTGTTCCTGTTCTCCACCCTGCAAGGGAAACAACCAGCACTGTTCACTGGCCTATGGGACATGTGGATGGAGCTGCAAGCTTTCAGACACAGATTCTTTCCTCACATACTGATTTTACACAGATACATTCAAGTTCTCTGCAACATGAAGGCAAAATTAAGCTTTTCCTAGCTTACGTAAAAATAAAAATCTTTTGTTTTGTAATGCTACGATTACATGTGAGCGACCCCAGAGACAGAGATATGGCTGATACAGTATCATTACTTAACAGGTTGGCTTCTATAGCATGAGCATGTGATAAAAAAGAGCTAAATTGCAGTCAGGGTTTGCCCCTTGTCCTTTTCACTGAGTCATGAACTTCTCACCGTCAATGACACGTTGATCGTATCAGTAAAGCTTTCTTCCTTCATGTGTGCATCTATGTAAGATTGGAGTTCTGTTATCAATACCCACAAAAGCAGATCTTCTCATACACTCTCTGTCTTGTAGCTAAAAGCTTGAAGAGGAAAGCTGTCTCTCAGTTCTTCTGTCCCCTACCCCCACATTTCTATCGCTGGAGGGCTCCAACAGCTGGGTTACAAGACAGAAACAGTTTAAAGGTTGATAGGACCACGAAGGAAGCCATAAATAAGAGAGCCAAGATAGCTGTTTATTGATGTTTTCCACTTGTGGTAGATGTGGAGAGGAGCGACTCTGTTTTATGAATAATTAAAGCAAACAGAGAAACTTTTTCGGCTCTTTTTTTGTGGGTGATTCTTCTGGCCTTTGTGGTTTTTCACACCGTTCAGTGATAATGAGTTGTTAAACCAGACACTTAGTGGGACAAATTTAACAGGAATGGAAATAACTCTGTTGCTGCTTTTACTCTGAATGAGCAGTCTGTAAAATGTTTGTGTGTGTGTGTGTGTGTAGTGAAAAGTCAACATGTTATTTTGCTCTCCACAAAAGTTTATGTTAAGCTTTAGCAAATGATAAGAATTCTTAAAGTGGTTTCCGTGTGGTTTTATTGTTGCCTAATTTGTTAATAGAGTAATAACACAGCAAATAGTGTCACAACAATAAAGAACTAACAAGGACCAGATTGAGGGATCCAATTCAGTGGCCTTGTTCATTGTCTGAGTTACAGATCTCTTAAACTAATCAACAGCTGTAAATTTTCTTTGTTGCTTTGCTCATGGTGGCATTAGTGCACTTTCACCATAGGAACCTTTGCAGAACTTGCCTGCTGAAGACCCGTGTATTTGTAGAGCAGCCTATGCAGAGACATCCACTCACTTTGGATGAATAAGAGGCTCCATCAATCTGTCACTGATTGAGATAGCACAGATGGAGGCTTGGGGCTCCCCGATGCTAGGTGCTGTCCACCGGGGTGTAAATTATGGCCCTGTCTCACTGTGTGGGTTAGTGGCCCTGCCTCGCCAGAGCCTGACCTGCAGTTCTGGAGTTTTTCACTTCAAAACCACCATCTTACTGCGATCAAGATCAAACAGAGCCAAAGTTAGGGGATACTGTGCAACTAAATGATTTATCACAACGAGCACAGCGAGAACTCTCCCCCCTCCTCCTCGGCCTTTGCTTACACAATCTCCCTGTTCGCACACACATGGCCACATACTCTCTAAAACACATCTCTTTGATTGTGACAGGGTAAGTGTGCACCGCCATTAATATGTCCATTGGTGTGAAATGCCTACTTGTGCAGCGAGTGTAAATTATCATCTTAGCAGACACGTCAACATCACGTCCCCTGTCTCTTAATCACTGTTTAAGGAAGAGCAGTGACAGCAAGGTTACCCTGTTAACTTCCCATACCTTCAGTCTGCGGCCCTCCTGACAAGGAACGTGTAAATCCTTACGGTGTCATTATGAAAAACACTTGGCTTCATAAATCTGTTGCAGTATGGGCTCTTTCTCTGGCGAGACAGAAGTGCTCCTCTAGATGTTTATTTGTCTGTGGAAAAGCTTCACATTTCTTTAAAAATTACTTCCTCTTTGTCCACAGATCCCACGAGTAAAACTACTGTCCTTTAAACATTTCCTTGACCTGAGATTTAGAGAACGGTTAAGTACACAGGAAACCCATCAAATCTCAGATGTTCCAAGGCAAAAAACCCAGCAGTGCTAGGAGAGGTCAGATTTATTGTTGATTCATGAAAATCTAACTGCATGTAGCCTTTGTCTTAGCAATGTGGACATTTCATCAAGACTGTAGAGTAAGCTCTGATATATTTTGTGCATAGTATTTACTGTATTAAACCTCAAAGGTGTCTGTTGAGTGGTGACACATTTTCTGGCATTTTGCTCTTTGCAGATATTTGAAAATGGAAGTTTTGGGATTCAGGGATGCCAACTGGTTAAGTTACTGACTTATATGCATTTATTGGCAATGTTAGGGAAGCTGCTTTGGAAGCATAGCTCTGCAAGCTACCTGTTACATCACACTGGAGGACGCTTAACTACAGCAAAGCTACTCTCAGGAGAAATCTAGTTTGGTTTACTAAAGCTACCAAGAAAAAGTAGTTCATACTGCTTTGTAAACGAAATGATCGAATTGACCATGTACATGTCATACAAAATTATAACAAAATGTAATACAAAAGTCGCATGCCAGCAAAAAATGCAAGTCAGTGGAGTTTATTGCATAAAGTGTCCACTTGTTTGTTACATAAACCAAATAAATAAAATACCCCCTTACTCATGATAAAGTGCGGGAGTTTTGGTTTTGTATGAAATTACTATCAATCAGACACCTGCCTTAGCCAGGTAACTTCTAAAACAGCATGAAACCACTTCTCTGAATATTTGTTAATAAATAGCAATAATCAATATGATGATTATGATTATTATGGTCAAAGGGGGTTTAATTACAGTAGAGAAGCAATGGTAAAATAATAATTTTTAAAAATAATTTCTTTCATTTTATGGTCCAAACTTGTTTGTAGTTTTAGTAGTTAACTGCACAAAAATAGCCAAAAAGTAATTTGACTACTATGCAAATATGAGTGTGGTTGAATTACCAGCAAGCTACTATACTACTATATGTAGTTCACTCCTCCCCAACACTGTTTATTGGAGAAGAATTCCCCTAGAAACACTTTCAACCAGTTGTATTCAGCTGTAAAAAGCAAAACGTAATATCCCTTTTAAGGTGTAAAGAAACTAGCATGATATAATCCCTGAAAAAGGCTTTATTTTAAACTGTCTGGTGCTCCAGGGATGTTCCCAGTCTTTCCGACTACTGGAAGAAGCACACTAATTCAGTGAATCAACAGAAAAAGTGAATAACACATTGTTTGTAATTACAGCCTTATGTCAAATTAGTGTTTCTCACATAACTTCTGAGTCAGAATGAACAACTTTAACCACTTGCCCACACACACCGACGAGACAAAGACGTTTGCCAGTCAGTGACAGCGAGGTCGCCCTCGCCAAACCCAGGATCGCAGGGTGGCATTGTCTGTGGGTGTGTGAATGAAAAACATGAAGGCTCCATGGTGTCAGACATGTGGAGAGGAGTAGGAGAAAAAATACCAGCTGGTCTCCACTTTCACATGCTCTCCACTCACTTGTAACAGTAGTAATTATAAGACTTTTGAAACCCATCCAGAACCAGAGAGGAAATAGAGGTCCTGTGATAGGGGAGGATATGAAACTTCCTGCACAGACGAGAGTTGCAGGTGCCCGGGTAGGGTTCGTCTGGCTGTGGAATCTTGGCGTGTTGTGTATAAACACGCACATATATACAGTATAAACCCTTAAACCCCCCCCCCCCCCCCCCCCCCCCCCCCCCCCCCCCCCCCCCCCCCCCCCCCCCCCCCCCCCCCCCCCCCCCNCCACACACACACACACACACACACACACACACTACCCCACATCTCGTCCTCCCCCTTTGAAAAAAAAAGAACAGAGTAGCATTACATATTCCTTCAGCCGTTAGCATCTGAGCTGTGAGAAGAAGCAAAGAGCCAAACAGATGTTTTGTTGGCTGCAGAAAATATTTTGGCATTTCTTACTTCCCATTACACTTCACTCCGAAAATGAATGATCACAAAAAATCACGCAAAGTTGTGTTAACATAAAAAACTTAAAGACATGAACATTTTGCTCGGTGTATCGTGAAAAAAATCTCGATTTTTACATCGAGTGACTGAAACTTTTTGTGACGGATGACGATTATTAAGACACCTGCATCAAATGGCCAAATTAGCAAACTAACAAAAAAAGCTTTGAAATGTGTTTGTGCACATCATGTGTCATCTTTTCATTATCCCCATGGCCAGGCTCTCTCCAGATGATGTGATTGACAACTTTTGCAGAAAAGCTTGGGAGTTGCTAAATGTTTGCAGCTGCCCTGTGGCCCATGCAGAAAGTCTTGACCTATATGCTTACTGCTTAGCTCTAATCCACATCAGGCCTCCTCGTTATGCGTCAGGCATCACAGATCACAGCTTTTTGTCTGCTTTAATGCGTTTCTGAATTAATGCAGCAGCACAAAATGTTCAAAACTTTATCATTTAAAAGTTGAACTTAAATGCCTTCATTGCGTGAGCAGAAAGTAGTTTATTCTGAACATGTTGTCATCTCTGCTCTTAATTCTAAACACTCGTTGGCAGCCCGGGTTGTTATGAACATGAAACCATCATGTGAAGTGATAGTAACAACCCGGCAGGGAATGGGAAAGAAACCACAGTTTGTCATTTGAAAATGTGCACCCTTGCACTAGCTTTTTCATTCTTGTGTTCTTTGCCCCTCGTCCAAATGATCCTAAAAGCAATTTTAAGAAACCTCGAGAGTTGATTTACGACTCGGCCCTGTCATCTTAATCAAGTCTCTCAATGGAACGAGACAAAAGTCTAACACCAGTCCGAGCCCAGAGAGAGGGCCGAGCCAAACGGCGGCTGACAGTTGTCCTTTTCTGGCCGTGATTTAGGTGGCGGCCTGCTCCACTGTTCTCGTGCTTCATCCGTTCTCCTTTAGCAGCGTCTTGTGAGAGGGGTTACGCCATGCATAAAGCTACCCATGGTCTGCATTCTTGCTCAGACTGTTGAGGCTGTCAGGGGGCTCCTCTGATTTAAGGCGCCCCACTTCAGTGGCCCCTATAAATTTAAAAACTAATTCAGTGCTCTACAGGACTTTCTGTTTTTGTAGCTGGCCCTCTGCTCCTTATCGTTACTGACAATTTTATGAAGTGCTCTTAATGAGCGTCAGATTAAAGGTGGCCTCTGATGGAAGGCGCCTGAGAACACTGGGTGGGGAGAAAGAAGCCACTTCAGCCTTGTCTATTTCTATGTGTGTGTGTGTGTGTGTGTGTGTGTGTGTGTGTGCGTGTGCGTGTTAAGGTGTGTGGGGGATGGTGTGTGTGACCAGTACAAAGGAAATGTCAAGGAATGAGTCTGTGACGTATGGTTCTGCGGGGTGGTACACACAGATACTGAACACCTTAAACGTCTGAATGTGAGTTATTCATACGCAGAGAGCACATTATGAGCCTGTGAGCCGTGGGAATGAAGAGGAGGAGGGGGGCAGAGTGATGTGTCTGCTGTGACTCCAACAGTTTTCAGACTCCCTGGCATTTTATACCAACCTGAAAGTAAACACGGGTAACAGTTTACAGCCAATTAAATAGTGCTTAAAGCCCAGTGTTTATGGAGGTAAACATGTTGGAGAGTTTAGGGAGGCTCAGGCCAGTGGGATACTTGAACCCTGCTCTCAGTTTTGCTCTCAGTGCATCTGAACTCCTCTAAAGTAGAAGGACGGTAAGAGCATATGTATACACAGAGGGATTTGTGCCAGCAGATGTTCTCCTCGCACTCTATCTATCAGGCAGACTGACAGCCATTAAAAACAGTGTGTGAGTAGTCTGCCTAATAGATCTAAACATGTCAGCGAGGAAGGAGCATTCTCTTATGACTTAACTTGCATAAGAAATGCAAGTTAAATTTTCAAATTTTCAAATCACACCTTGCCTTGTGTTCCCCTTTTCATCAGCTTATGGGGCATTCACTTGTGTTTTTTGTGGTGTAATTCCCAGCTTTGTGCCTCTGTAAACATTTGTTTTTCTTCTGGTCTTAATAGATGTTGAATATGTCCTGTTTGGAATCCCAGGCGGTTGTTTAACGGAAGACTTGCTTTAACGCATCACAGAAAACCAAGCACGACACGTGTTTTATGATCTCGTAAACGAGCAGCGATGTTGTGAAACGTGTGTCTGTGTGCTTGGGGGTGGGTTGGTGGGGCTCTGGTGTCTGATAGGGATTTATCTGCCCCCCCCACAACCCCCCACCCCTTTGTCTGGATGGTGGAGCACTCCCCAGAGAGCAATGCAGGACAGGCAGGAATCTCTGTCCAGATTTCCAGAGATTCTCCCATATCCCTTACACAACCGCCTGGAAGAGCTGGGACTGTTGGTCTTTCACAGCCTCGGCTACAAGCATGTGATGAAATGATTACTTAACATAAGAGATATTTAAAAATAAAAACAAGTCACGATCTCTCACTCAAGCTCGGTTGGTTTGCAAGTTGCATTTAAATTGAATTCATACAAAGGAAGCTACATTCATAACCTAACATTCAGATCCGTTATTGCATCTGCTCACTGAAATACTGATAACTGCATTTTTCCCCTGCAGATCTTCATCAACAACGAGTGGCATGACTCTGTTAGTGGGAAGGTCTTTCCTACCTACAACCCGGCTACTGGAGAGCAGATCTGTGAGGTCCAGGAAGCAGAGAAGGTAAATGTTCTGCAGCATGGCATCTTCCATCTGTCTTTTTCATTGATATTCAACTATCTTACATATGAGTATCGGTGCCATACTTTATAAATACTCCAGGTAAAAGTCCTGCATTCAAAATTTTACTCAAATAAAGTAAATATTAGCAACAAAATGTAATTAAAGTATCAAAACTAAAAGTACTCATTATGCAGAATTACCCCTGTCCATGTTATAATGTCATATTTTTGGATCATTATTATTAATGCATTAACATATAAGCAGCAGTACTTTACTGTTGTAGTTGTTAAGATGAAGCAAATTTTAACTTCTCCATATACTGCTTAGTGGTCTAATCAATAACAATGCATCATATTTTGTAAACTGAGCATATGTTCTGTGTGTAAAGAGTAAAAAGTACAATATTTCCCTCTGAAATGTAGTGGAGTAGAAACTGAAAAATACAGTCTGGGGTTTTCTTCTTATGACAGCCTTAAATCTCACCTTTTATTATGTTATACATGTGTTAGATAGTTGCTTACATTTTGCAGAGCTGCCAGTTGTTCTATTCCAGTACTTATTTCAGTGACATTGAGTAAAAAAAAAACAAAAAAACGTATGTTTCAAAGTATGCTTCTTGTCTGATAGGCTGATGTTGATAAGGCGGTGCAGGCGGCTCGCCTCGCCTTTTCTTTGGGCTCTGTATGGCGAAGGATGGATGCATCTGAGAGGGGTCGTCTGCTGTCCAAACTGGCTGACCTGGTGGAGAGAGACAGCATCTATCTAGCTGTAAGTCAACCGGATATTGGTATTATTCTGAATCAATTACTGTGAATAACCCTTAGTTGTTTTTTAAGTTAGGCTAAGGTAAGGTAAGGTAAGGTATTTCCAACATGGATATACCTCTGAAAATGAATTAAGGCCTCTTATCCACTTGATTATTACCCTATTTATGTAACTGTTAACAGTATAACATTTATTCTCATGTTTATTTCATTTTATACCATCTGCAAAGCACTTTGAGCGCCGCTGTGTTTAACAACACTTACAAACTTGCTTTGCCTTACAGAGAGCATATAGCTGTAACCAAGAGCTATACTTATAGCGTAGTGTTATCTTAGTGTCGCATTTCACCCATGGGACAGTGTAAAGACTGGAACAGTATGAAATTATGTGAGGATCACAAGGTTATATCACATATTTCTCAAACGTCTCCCCCGTCTCTCTTCAGACTATTGAGTCACTTAACAGTGGGAAGCCTTTCCTGCCCACCCTGTTTGTGGACCTCCAAGGAACAATAAAGACACTGAGATACTTTGCTGGATATGCAGACAAGATCCACGGCACTTCCATTCCAATGGGTAAGATCCCTCTTTGAGCATGATAGCAGAGCTGTAGTGACGTGGACAAAAGGCCAAGTGTTGGTTTGAGACTGTAGGTAAAAGAAAGGAATTGTAGGGTTACACTCTAAAGAGACATTTTTTACATGAACACAGTTGATGGTAAGGTGAAATCCCTGGCTTGTTATTGTTAGGGTTGGGTATCGAACCAAACTTTTTTGCGTATCAATTTCACTAAGTATTACAGTAAAAACTACTGAACAAAAGTTTGTTTCTTGGTCAGATTATAATGATCAGGTGTTTTTCAGGCAAAGTTCTTGTACAACAGTTTGTATAAAGACATGAAACACGGACACATTTCAAACATAGACTGTATAGAATAATGGATGTGGCCACTGTGACGTCACCCATTGATTTGTGAAGTCCTGTTTTGAAGCCTTGACCGTCATCATCTTTGATTTTTAGAGCCACAAATGACCATATTTGGACAAGATGCTGGAATTAACCAGCTGCTAACTCGGTTAGCATGGTGCATTTACTTAATTTTCATCTGCAACAAACAGGCTTAAAATCATTAAAACAAAATGTTCTTACCAGTAAAAAATATACATCTGACTCTGTAGAGATTTAAGTACAACTAAACACGTAAGACTTTTTTAGGCTACCAAAATGTCATAATTAAGCTTTTATGACTTCAAAAGACACTGAAATAGCGACAGCTATGGCTACGCCTACACTCTATAAAAGTGAGGTTATGTCTTGGTTAAGTTACCGAGCAGCGTCGTTGCCGCGGTAGCAACTTGTCAATAGACGGCACCTACTTGTCACTCAGAGCGACCACACCCTTAATTATTCTTATCTTTAAGCCTTTAAACATTATAAACACATATCTCTGGGGCGTCGGTAGCGTAGTGGATAGTGCTGGCGCCCCATGTACAGAGGTGATGCCTCACTGCAGCGGTCGCAGGTTCAACTCCAGCTTGCAGCCATTTCTGCATGTCACCCCCCCTCTCTCTCTGTCTGTGTCTCTCTCTGTCTGTGTCTCTCTCTCTCTCTCTCTCTCTCTCTCTCACCCCCCTTCACTCTGTCCTATACAATAAAGGCAAAAAAGCCCAAAAAATAATCTTTAAAAAAACCCACATATCTTTAAACATTTAAACAGGTGACTTACACAAAAATTCATCCCCATACAGTTGTCTTGAAAAAGGATTTTAACTACACGCCAAAACTGTTTTTAGTACAAGGCTGTAAACATGTTCACTTCTGCTGTAAAGTTGGGCATGTTAACATGGATGTCTATGGGGACTGACCGGCTTCTGGGGCCAGCCTCAAGTGGCCTTCAGAGGAACTGCACTGGCTTCATTTGTCAGCCCAGGAGGTTACCGCTCGATTTTAAACCTGCAATAAATTATTTTTGGGGGGCTTCTTGAGGGTATTTGAAACATGATGCAAACTCAGCACTGACATATGATCATCTTTGATATACCATGTTGCTATGTTGATAACAGTTGTTCATTTACACATCCAGTAGTTATGGAACATCATTAGTATTTGGAGTGATGTTTCTGTCCACCTGATACATGTAAGCCCAATACTCTCCTTTAGCTCTGTTTTCTGTCTCCACCAGCTTCTGAGGGGAAATATCTGGCTCTTTAGCTGCTAAATGCTCCTTGTTCCCCTTCAAAAAAGTTACATCCATGACCCTTCAAGTGGACAAAAATGTCCATTTTCTAGAAACTTTTGTAGTGTCCAACAAAAAGTCACAGGGGGGTGATTTTTTGCATGGGGGTGTCATTCTGGGTGAAATTTCAAAATCCCAACTTTCAGCACAAAAATCCATTATTTGACCCTGTAATGCATTTTTATCACATCCATGACCCTTCAAGTGGACAAAAATGTCCACCTGTCATTTAGCCATTTGTTATTGTTGCTGGGATAAAAATGCATTACAGGGTCAAATAACAGATTTTCATGCTGAAAGTTGGGATTTTGAAATTTAACCCAGAATGACACCCCCATGCAAAAAATCACCCCCCTGTGACCTTTTGTTGGACACTTTCTAGAAAATGGACATTTTTGTTCACTTGAAGGGTCATGGATAGGGTAAAAATGCATTACAGGGTCAAATAATGGATTTTCGTGCTGAAAGTTGTGATTTTGAAATTTCACCCAGAATGACACCCCCATGCAAAAAATCACCCCCCGTGACCTTTTAATTTGTCTGTGAGGGAGTTTTGAATTTTGGAAATGGACAAAAAAGTCCAGGGGTAACACAAGGGTTAAGTTCACCAGCTAGTTACTAACTGTGTCTGTCTCCTAGGCATATTTAAGTTAGAAATGTTTAAGTTATTAATTTTTTATTTAAGTAAGAAAGTTTTTGTAGAAAAAACACTTTCAATAAGCAACATAAGGTATCAAATTGGTGATCAATCCCATCACTAGCATTACTCGTCCTGATGAGACTGTCACCAGTGTCGCCTCTCTAAGGCAGTTGAATTTGGGGGGGTAGAGGGGAAAGTTGGCTGTCTGTTTCGACAGGAAGCACGAAAGAGGAAAATAGAATAAGAGAGAGGACATGAGAAACCTCCTGATACCGCCGTATTGTCCCTCTCAAAGCTTCTCTTGTACACTGCTGCCAAACCAACCGCGGTGAGCATTTTGCCAGAGCTTTGGTTTAAAGCTTTATTGCTCTAGTAGACATCCAGAGGAAATAAACAAGGTAGCCTGTAGCCTGTGTGATGTAAGGCTGTCAGTGATCGAGTTTGTTCACCTGTCAGGATGAAGTCGAGGACATCTTTCATCAACAACCCTTCAGCATCAATCTGTCTTGCACGTTATGCTGAGATGATTGTGTTAAATCTGTATCACAGACAGAGTGAAATGAATGGGGAGTGACATTGTGTGGAGCACCTTTGGCTACACACTTTGGTATAGTTTACACTGCTTGTTCCAAATTGAAATATAATTCATCTTGCAGGAGATGTACTTTCAAACAAACTTCGCAGATACTTGAGCTCCTCCTGAAAGTCTCACATCTAATAGGTTTAAAGTTTCATTCTCCAAACAATAACAGTTTGGAAAGACCCAACATCCACTTTGAAATTAAGGAAAGAGGTTGACATATGAGAATCTGTACTGCAGGTCTTTGTCCATTGTCATACTTCCACTGCATCCCATTGAAAATGATTATCTGGCTTGTTATCTAGCATCGGTCATTGCAGTCCAAATCCAACATGAGGCAATGTTTCGTCAGCTGACGACTGTTGTAACAAATTTATACACACATTTCTCAATATCAATTGTTTTTGTGGAGAATGAACAAGCATGGCACACCCTCAGTAAGTACCTCCTTTTACTTAAGTAATGCAAGAGGAATGAGCAAACATTTCCAGCATAACACCCATCTCTATGACCTAAAACAGTTACACACATGCCTGTGCTGTAGGAGGCTCGAAACGAAATGTAATCTCTCACCGGGGTAAAGCAACCAGGAATGTTGCGTGTGGATTCATTTACAAATTAACATGTTGAGTCAACAACACCGGGGGTATCAGGTGGTGACATATTTCATCTGTTTCAGGCATTTTACAAGCTTTAATCTACTGAAGCATGAAATAAATAACCCTGTTTCTCATTTGTGTGTGTGTGTGTGTGTGTGTGTGTGTGTGTGTGTGCTGCACGTGTGTTCCTCCACAGATGGAGAGTATCTGACATTTACCAGATATGAGCCCATTGGAGTTTGTGGACAAATTATCCCTGTGAGTATAACCCTTCCTACAAGTGACATGCATGATGGATACGGACGGATGGAGGAAAAAGGGGGAAAAACACAGATAACAATGAACTGGCAAAGTTTAAAAGACATGTCGTTGGTTGTTAGTCTGTCCTGTTTGTTGAATTACATTCTGCATTTTCCAGTAATTCCCTGACAGTCACTGTTTATGTGTGTAAGTCCTGCTGGTAAGCCCCGAGATGGCTGGTGCCAGTGAGTTTGACTAATAGAGAACGAGAAGTGAGAGGCAAAAAGAGCGAGCTGAGGGATTTCACAGAGTGGGTTTGAGGAAAAGAGAATGGTGAGAAAGGAGGAAAAAGATCAAGGAGAAAGAGACACTGTTGATTGTGCAAGAGTGCAGAAAGCGTGTGGTTCTGCGTTGAGCCCCATGGGCTCCTGTGTAAAGCAGAAATAACACAGGCCTGTGTTTTGTGCAGTGATATGGGTCTATTGCACATGTGTTGCAATTTCCCGGCTTTCTCAGAATACTGTGGGAAGAGAAAATACTGTACAAGTGCCGAGAACATTTTCTCACTTGACTATGTTTAGACAGAGTGAAAATGAGAGTAAGTGACTTAAGAGCGATGAGTTATTGAGCTTGACTTGTGACCACCCAGTGTGTCAGTCAGATGCATGATGTCTTTTTCCGGTGTGTGTGTGTGTGTGTGTGTGTGTGTGTGTGCGTGCGTATGTGTGTGTGTGTGTGTGTGTGTGTGTTTGTCATGCACAGTGGAACTTCCCCCTCATGATGACAGCATGGAAGCTGGGTCCAGCAATCGCATGTGGAAACACTGTTGTCCTCAAACCTGCTGAGCAGACGCCGCTCACCTGCCTCTACATGGCGGCTCTTGTCAAGGAGGTAAATGACAGAATCTCGTTGCCAACCGCACATATGTTCACGAGGCAGTTTGCCAACATTTTATTCGGGCAGTCCAGCATTAATACTCCCAATAACTGAATCCGAATCACTTACAGGCTTCAGTTTGCCAAGAACACAGTGTTCACTATGAATCTGGCCAACACTTTATTTGGATAATCCAATATTAACGTAACCACAAGGCGACAAAGAACAGATGTTTAACAAAGTGTCACTTGTCTATCTGGCACATCTTTTCAGAGTCTGTAATCCTAATTTCCACCCTGAGATTAACACCACACAACATGTTTGCGAGAGTTAAAGGGTCAGTTCACCTAAATCACAAAAAAACCAAACATATTTTGACATTCACTCACAGTGATATGTAGCCATAGCCGTTTTGATTTTATCAGCTTAAGTATTGAGATTTTACTCTGCTGCTACCCCAGTTTTAGTGGAGGTTAATGGAATTTTTTTGTGGTCTTAAAGCACTGAGAAATTCCACTTTAAAAACTCAACAGCAACATGCCTTGATGAAACAATACTCTGGTTTTATTGGGACAGAGATGAAAAAAAGATTTTAAGTACATGTACGAACAAATCTTGTTAAAAGCATATTAAATGACTGTGAAAGCCACAGAAACAATCATAATGTTATTACTGTTGCAAATAGTTGCTGACTGAGATATTATGCTGCTTTCACGTCATGTTGATTCAACCAAAATTACAAGCAGCTGAGTGGGAAAAATATGTTTTCGCCAGTCTTTGACTTGTATTGGGAATTTCTGACACTGACGATATGTCCTACTTGGTGGAAAGAACTGCAGACGTGTCAACAAATGGTTGGCTGCAAACTATTGAAATAAAATCCAATATTATCATTGATTCAATTGATTCAGCTGATTTTATTGGTGCTGTACAGTGTTCGTTTATATCTAGTTTCACTTGGAAATAAACTGTGACAAATACGTAACACAAAAAGTAGCTAAAGGTTAGCACTTTGGCTAACACCTTGGAATAAAGCTTAATCCTGTAGGATTATATAGGTAAAGTTTAGCACCAAATTGAAGTCTGAATTAGTGTCGAATGTAGCGACCGTATACAAAGGCGTCACTTAATGATGTACGTCCTGAAGTACGTTTGAATGGTGATGTGATAAAAAAGCTGCTTAAGCCTCAGTTACGCCTTCCGTACTGACATAAGATGACACGGAATTATGATAAGAAAGCATTTTGGATTGTTTAAACTCCTTGTGGCAAGCCAGTATTCTCCCAAACTGTAGGGGGCAGCGTATTGAAAAGTCATGTCCGCAGCATGACTTTCCATTTTCTTAACCCGTCTGCATAGTTATAAAATGTCTGATGTGCACAGACAGGCGAAAACCTGTGGTGTATCCCCTAGAAGGGGCGTGTTTGATGGTGTGACCTCACTTCGGGTCACACCATCAGACATAAATCAAGCATTAGTTGGTAACTTTGAACTGAACAAAACATTTGGAATCAGCAAAGTTTAATGTCAACAGGAAGTTTAATGTCAGTGCTGACACATTACAAAAGAGCACTGACACACAAAGCAGGATAAAACATAACAGAGCTTTATATACACTGCAGCTAAGACAGTCAACACAAAATAAGACTAATTCAAGTATTTAGTAAATCCAGATCCAAAATGTGGTGTACCAGTGCATTGTATTGTCTTAGTCAGTAGCAACAGGGTAAGCACGTTGTGTACAATAGAGGTAAACACATGAGTAAGTTAAACAAGATAGGAACAATGCAGCGTTATGTTAATGTAGAAAAACTTAATCATCTGTACAGATCTCAGTGTCCACATCCTCCCTGTCTCCCCCCTGCCCTCTCTGGCCTCGCCTCTTTCTGGAGACTATCTGTCTGTCGCCTTCTTCTTTTTGATGTTCTCTCCATTCTCTGCTGGTAGGGAGGTTGGGTTGGGTCTGGATTCCCCCACACTGCCTGTGGTTTTGCTTGGCTCTGCTGTCATCTCCGCTAAAGCTTGTTTCCTCTCATATTGTTTTGACAGGCCGGGTTTCCACCGGGAGTCATCAATATTTTGCCAGGATTCGGGCCAACAGCAGGAGCTGCGATTGCTTCGCACATGGGCATAGACAAAGTGGCTTTCACAGGATCAACCGAGGTACTTTTCTTTAATAATGTGACTCAGATCAACAGCTGCCTACTGCTTGCTTTTGTCAGCGAACACAAGTGACACAGTGACCAACATGTGCAGAGCATAAGAGCAGGCTGGGTAATTAGGGGACGTTGTGTGCCTGTATTGAAGTCTAAATGACAAACAAATGGGGTCTTATATAAACTGTGTGCCCTGTCATTACTAATCATGACAGGGGGCTCCGATTTTATCTGGCACACATGCACATATTTGCGCTGTCGAGAGTATACAAACACATCTCTGTGAAAACACTGCCTCTCTTCTGTTTTCCCTCCGCTGTCTCTGCTGTATTAACGCACCTCCACAGCGCCTGTCATTGAACTTACTATCAGGATAAACCCTGTAACTCTGCAGAACAGGATAGCAGTTAATGGAAAGCTAAATCATCAAGGACATACCATGTTAGGTGTTGAGTGCTAGGAGGTGTTGCTGTCAGAACACATTCCTCAAGCCAGAGGGAACAGCCAGAGCGACAGGAGATTATTTTACTGTAAATCATTTATAAACATCTGTTATTTCTAACTGCAAGCTAACCCAACTGGTGAAACTGTTTACAGCAGTCCTCATGTAGAATTTATGTTTTGATGTGACCAGCCTGTATTTCATATGTGTTGTTGGTAAATGAGCCACTTTTATCTAATGTTCAGATTAGCCTTGTGGTTTATGCTAGCCTGTTCTTATTCCCATGGCATCAAATATGGTAGCTTGGTCAGGGGTCATCAGTGTCTGAGTCTGACACGCATTAAACTCCAGTATAACCAGTATAATCAGTGGCAATGACGTAGCATAAAGAATGAGAAAATCTGAGTAGGAAAAGAGGGGTGGTGGATGGGTCAAACAGACACAGGACTTTCATCCAGGAGACCACTGTTTGTGTCTTGTGTGAAACTAAAGCCCTGTTTCTACTGAGCAGTACTGTACAGTTCAGTATGATACGTTTCTTTCCGTTTCCACTGCGAAAAGTTGTGGATGGTACCAATGGAACTGTTCTGTACCGTCCCCATTTTTGGTCACCCTTCTTTTGGGGTACCTAGAACACAGATCTGGTACTAAAAGGTGGAGCTGTGAACATTGCAGTCCGTTGAATGGTCAATAGCAGATGGTCACTCTGCTTAGGGCTGAGTTGTGGCTGGTTTTGAGGCTCATGTAACCACTGTTCATACTGTGGAGAGTTTTATTAGTAGACTCTAACTACTACTCATCTATAAGATGAAAGAATGTTTTGCTGCCTCTTGCAGCAAAATAACTTAATTCACTGGGCCAACTGCTGGCAACCTTTAAGGTGGAACGTTAACTTGTAATGTTACTCAATGCATGAAATGACGGCATGAATCAATCGACACCTTAAATTTCACTGTGACGACTTTAACTATTACGCTAGGGTCTAGGTACCATGTCTGAAGGGTTACTTTTGGTCCCAAAGGTACCATACTGAATGTGTTTGGTGGAAACGGTGCTTAAGTTGCTATAATGATTGATCGCCACTGCACAACATGCATTTAGGGGTGCGGTGCCTTGCTCAAGGGCACCTTGGTAGTGCCCAGGAGGTGAGCTGACACCTCGCCAGCTACCAGTTCACACTCTGATATGAATCAGCAACCTTCCAGTTCACAAGCCAAGTCCCGACAGACCAAACTATGGCCATTATGTAGATAACTTCATGTGTATACGTTACATATGTCACGTGACACAGTTCTTAACCCACATATGTTACGTAACAAACATACTAGTTTTAACCCAAACCATGATCTGTTTTCTAAAGTAGTTTTGTTGCCTTAACCCAACTTAGTTTTGGTGATGAAACCTACATTTCCCGTGAGCATGAGAGTTTATTTTAAAAAGGAACTGCATGTAATGAGGCCTGTCACGATAATTATATAATCAACATTTTGAGGTCAGAAAAATGATTGAGGTCATGTCCATATATTGTACAATATTGCCCTTGTGTTTACATGCATATTTGTTTACATCAGAATGTCACCATAATTTAAGCCAGCATGATTCCAGAATAAACAGTAGGGTTATTCTGACCATTGTAAGACTTGTTGTGAGAAACCTCCGATAAACCCACACAGGTATAGAAGTCATAGATTACTGTTCCTGATGAGCTAAACACACACAGTGATGAAAGCAGAATTGGACAGCATGATGATATACATATATTTATCCGGTGTATGAATGGCTTTAACATTGTGTCTTTATGATTTTCCAGCACAGTGTAACATAAAACATACATTTTCCTATTCTAATCTCTCACACACACAGACACACCCAATCAGTGTGTGCACGCGAGCTTGCATAAATGCACCTTCTAACACAAACATCTTCTTTGTTTTATCATCCCATCTTGATTGAACATTTCCTTTGTGAGTGGCCCAGTTTTTTTTACTAGTTTTCCTGTTGTTTCATGTGATCTGGAGTCAATTACTGAGAGAATGAGCCAGTGCTGTAAGAGACTGCTGATGCCCAGACAGTGAGTCACCACGCTGTAGTAGCAGCGGTGGAGGGGGGATACTAGCCACCACAGCATCTTCGCACATGATGGAAGGTGGTGGTGTAGCTACAGGTGGATTTTAGGACCACAACTCATCCTTGTTCTGACTCACATGTGGCTGTGACTCCACATGGAGGAGTCTCGCAGCCCAGAGTATTTCCTTTACCCCTGAATAAACACACGCGAACCTCCCCTTAGTCAGCCGCTTTGTGTTTCTCATCAAAGACAGACAAAACACATCAGAAACATTGAAGCCGAGCCAAGTATTGTGTTGTATTTATACAGCTTCAGTACCAGCCACAGCACAGCAGTTGATTCTCCTCTTTTCTATTATGTCTTAGTATCTTAAAGTGACCCATACACAAGAGAACACAGAGAGAGAATAAGAATCTTTTCCATGTTGGAGGTGGGGTTTTTTCAGTTGCACACTGAGAGGGTATTTTTCCGCTTTATCTTGTCAGTTATCTTGGAAAATAAAACAGGCTGTATGAGTAACAGGAAGATGAATACTTGTTTAGGGTGTAGGGTTGTGAGAGAGGTGTGTGGGGTTTCTCAGGACTGTTATCTTTTGAGTTGGTGCAATATTTTACGACATTAAAAAAATACAAGTGAAAGCAGCTGATTCAGTCTACTGTTGAGACAAAGTAGAGACTCGTGAGAACATATTTTACAGCAGAGAAAATATCTTGCATGGAGGCAAATCACTCACAATGTCAAATCACGATTATAAAAATAATTCTCACTCATATGACGTTTGAAAGCGGACTTATAATGTCCACATCATCACTATGACTACTATCTTCTGTCATAAAGGAATAGTTTAACATTTTGGGAAGTATGGACTTTTGCTGTCTTGTCGAGAGTTAGATGAGAAGATTGATACCACTCTTCTGGCATAGAGTGATATCAATCTTCTCATCAAACTCTGGGCAAAAAAGCAATTTTCCAGAATGTCAAACTGTTGCCTTAAAGAACAATACTGGTGGTTTCACATATTTTAGCCTAGAGTATCTGCTACAAATTACTCATACTTTATATGGTAACTAACTAACAAGTTTGAAAACTGGTTAGGGGAATTTTGTCTACTGTTTTAGGCATCCATAAGTTCCATTAATTTCCTTTTGTCTTTAAAATCTATCAGCAGACTCCTGAAACTTTGTTGAGTTGTATTATCAGGAACAGTGAATCTCATATCTACATTAATTTTTGTTTATCTACTGTAACACACTTCTTCCTAACATACAGTGAGAAAGCAAACTCTGGTAGATGGAGCACAACAACATTATTCAGGGAGCCTATCAAGCCCTGACTGAACCTAAGCGGCAACTTGTTGTTGCCCTGAAAACAGGTTGAAGGTGCTTGCTCGCATCACAGCCAGTTAGCATTAACATTGTGAGTAGGCTTGGGCGGTATCTACTTTTCCATACTTAATTTCATACCTTCCTGGCATTTTCCTGGGGTAATTTTTCTTTTTTACTAGTGTGACGTTATCCCCACCACTCTCAGTCACCATCTTTCTCAGCTCAGCTTCCTGTTCCACCTGTAGAGACTGACCTCTGGTGGCAGGTGCCTTGCACTGCATCACCTCAATACAGCATCTCCGTATCAGTTTAATAGGAAGAGGAGTGTCTGACTTTTTGACAGTATTGAAAATCATACCTTCAGGATTTGAAAATACCGCAGTTTTCCCTAATACCTTGATACCACCCAAGCCTAATTGTGAGGAAACAAAAAACATACTTTTCTGCTCTTAAACTGCCTCATTATGATGACGATGATAATGTCATTACATTGTAATGTAACATAAATGAATGCAGCTCAAACAACATTTAAAAAAATCTGAAAGTATACATGATTTACAGAAGTTTAAACCTGCAAAAAGCACTGGTATAGTCCCTGAAGATGAGTCACACATAAGATTCCCTTTAGTGATCTTATCTTATTGTTTCAGTCTTTATTTTGTTTGCATCATATTAAGTAGAAATAAGTATGTAGGAGGATAAAGAAAAACCACAGAAAATCCCCTTGTCGTCTTCTATATTGACACGCCAGACCCATTTCATACCAACCTCAGATAGTTACGTCACCACCCACACACCTTGTGGTTGCTTCTTCCTGCCCTTCATTAGAAATCAGATGCTGTTCCCGGCTGAAACATTATTTTATTTTCCCGTTGCTGTCTCCAAAATCCTGTAATAGATATTCATTCTGTCTGTTTGCAGAACTCATGTTTCAGCTGGCCTACCTGTGCATTCCCTGTTCAGAGCTAACCAACCTCTTTAAGCTATTTAATGGCTCCAGCTGATTTACTGATCTGGCCACGGGCCTGCATTTCTGTGAGTAAACCCCAGATCTGTTTCCTTCCCTAGGTCGGCAAGCTGATCCAAGAAGCAGCTGGGAAGAGTAACCTGAAGAGAGTGACGCTAGAGCTGGGAGGAAAGAACCCCAACATCATCTTTGCAGATGCTGATTGTAAGTTTTCAAGTAATGTTTTATTCAGCGCTCCATTTGCCCATCACCCTCACTAGGTGGTCTGTCACTATCACTGTTTTGTTTGGTCATGTGTCCCTCTCTCAGGACTTCCAGTCTGTGGATAAACACACACGGACGGAGATTCTTAAAATGCTCAGAAGCTTTGTAGTGCTATGAAAACCTGTGGATGGATGGGTTTCATATAAATTCTAAGTGGCTCACCAAACTGGGGGTGCAGAGGCTTTCAAATGCTTTCAGCAGCCGTGAGAGGGGCTCCCTGAGGTCTGTAAATCAGGAGAATGGACCCTGACTCAGTCGGGTGCTTCAGCCGAGACCCATAAATCACAGGGGTCCGTTAACCCTTCGTATGCAACAGCAGGGTCCTGTCTCTCAGGTGTCAGGTATCAGATTTGCACAGGATAGCTCCAATAAATATTGGGCCAAATTTTGTAACAATATACTACACACATTCGTTTAATCCAAATGAAGTTTGTGTGTGTAGATGTAATGATAGTTTCTGTTAACGATACAAGATTTAATTTATTATATAATAATTGACCTTTAAAGGATATTCCCATGGTGTACTTTTCTTTGGTGAACAAAGAAGTTTTATCCAGCACTGATTAAATAAAATCCCTCTTTTCCCCCCAGTGGATCTGGCTGTAGAACAGGCCCATCAGGGCGTGTTTTTCAACGCAGGCCAGTGCTGCACGGCAGGCTCTCGCATTTATGTGGAAGAGCCCATATATGATGAGTTTGTTCGGAGAAGCGTGGAGCGAGCCAAGAGGAGGATAGTCGGCAGCCCCTTTGATCCCACCACTGAGCAGGGTCCACAGGTGAGGTCAACAGATTATAACTCCCCTTTTTTTCCACCTTCAAAATGTTTGTTTTTCCAACGTTTTTTTGATTTGTCTTCTCTGTCATGGCCTCTCATATTATCTCTGCCCTCTGCCTCCACAGATCAGTCGGGAGCAGCAGAATCGTGTGTTGGAGTTTATCCAGAGCGGCATCAGTGAAGGAGCCAAGATGGAGTGTGGAGGCAAAGCTCTGGGCTTGAAAGGGTTCTTCATTGAGCCCACTGTTTTCTCTAACGTGAGGGATGACATGCGCATCGCCAGAGAGGAGGTACAAAGATAACAGAGATTTTCTTAACTCCAGCTCAACTAATGCATGTATACCTGTATAATACCACAAAATGAAAAACGCTCCATTCAAGTCAATGTCCTGCATTCAAAACTTTACATGAGTCAAAGTATGATTTAAGTTTCAAACATAAAAGAAATAATTATGCAGAATAACCCTTTTCAGCGTGTTATATTATCATGTATATTATAGTATTTAAATTCTATTATTAATGTATTAATATTTAATGTTATATCTGGTTGACGTAGAGCCACTATATACGCAGTTGGGTCATTGAATAATCTATAAAAATGCATTACAATTTATTTGTTGTTCTTATATTTTGTATGTAAAGGAACAGTGTGAAAGATTTAGGAAGATTTAGTGACATTGTCTGCAGAGGTCTCTTCCTCTCAAAATCAAACAGACCTGCCGGTTTAAACCAGTAAAAACAATGATTAAAGCCGTGTCACATTAAAAAAATCTGTGTTTTTCTGACATTGCTTATCACGGAGAGGCTGCTAACTATGATGACCAATAAACAAAAGCAAAAGCATGAAATTCAAATGGCTCTTTCTAGAGCCAATGTTTGGTTTGTCCATTCTGGGCTACTGTAGTCACATAGCGATGCAACAAGGCGATCTCCATGGAGGAGAATCCACTCCTTATTTGGATAAAAAACGGCTCATTTTAAGATTAGGAAAACACAACAATTCTTATTTTCAAGTGATTATACACCAAAGAAAACATACTTATTATATTATAAACCATTTCTGCTAATATATCCCCCTAAATCCTCCACACTGTTTCTTTAAAATGTGGACCTGCAGAGTCAGAAGTAGCTAAAGTTGTCAAAAAAATGTTAATATGTGCAGTAATTCTCTTTGAAATGTGGGTGAAGTTTAAAGTATAATGAAATGGAAATACTCAAGCAGAGTATAGGTACTTCAAAATTGTACATAACTATAGCACTTGAGTAAATGTACTTATGTTACTTTCCACCAGTGGTGAAAATACATACTGGATTAAATTTAAGTCCAAGGTAATTGGTGGTAACCCTATCCTTAACTTCTTTATATGTGACCGGTAATATATAAATCTAATGTATATGAATAAAGAAGGTGGACAAATGAGCAGATGTTAAAAACCTTTATATTCTCATCTGTTTCCAGATTTTTGGCCCTGTCCAGCAGATCATGAAGTTCAAAACTATCGAGGAAGTGATAGAAAGAGCCAACAACACAGATTACGGTTTGGCTGCGGCTGTATTCACCAACGACATCAACAAAGCCATGACCGTATCCACAGCCATGCAGGCTGGCACTGTCTGGTAAGCTTAATCTGCTGTGTTTCTTCAGCTGCAATCAGTAATATTTTTCATGTGGGAAGTATCAACCATCTCAGACTCTGGCATCCAGAAACTGTAAACTGGCAATGTGCCACTTCACTATCATTACACAAGCCACAAAGAAATGTTTTCCTTCCCTTTTTTTCACTTCTTTCCCTCAGCTCAGACATTTGAGATATAAAAATACCAAAAGCAACGTGCCAGCGCAAGACAACAACGCAGAATGTAAATTATAAATGTAAACTGACACCCTAATTTTATAATTTGTATAAATGAAATGGTCGTAAAATGTTACTTCTTGAGTCCACCTAAACTTGTTTTGTTTCTTTTGTAATTACCTGCAGATGGCTATGAGCAGGGGTAGAATTATAGCTAACATACAGTGTCTGCCAAGAAATTTTCACCACTTGTCATACAATCCTCTGCTCGCTGAGGAAACATTTCTCTACCTTGTCCTTCACCATCCCACTTCTCTTCCTCTGTTGAGGGTTTTGTTCGGTACTTAAAGAAGGACCAAACCTCTTTTCATACCAACTTTTTTTTCCTCAAAAAAGTACCGTCTATTCCAAACATTATCCCCTCACAGCTGATAACAACCACAGTGACCACTTCTTATATTATAAAGACATTTGGCACTGACCGCAGATAACTAGAAGTTGTCTCCTGATTTTACAGATATGACTTTTGCACTCTCTTTTGATGATAACTTCAGGAAGTCAGTGGTCATAACTTCCCATAACACATCAACATACCGTTTTCACACTTCGTTTTCCATTAACAGATTACATATAACATGTTAATTATTGAGCTTTGTTACCTTTGGACAGAGCTCCTGTTTGCTGTTTGCCCCTGCTCTCAGCCTTTGTGCTAAGCTGACTGGCTGCTGACAGTAGTGTCATATTTATTAGGCCTAAGAGAAAGACAAGAAAGAGAATAAGCATATTTTCAAAATAATGCTGAATTCCTTTAATCCATCAATGAGAAAAAAATGTTGACTGTCAATTTTTCAATACAAAGCAACAGATTAACTCCCTGTGTCTCTTGAACAGCCACATTTACTCAGTTTGAATCATGTTGCTCTATGTTTGGGTTTGCAGCAAACAATGAGATGCTGAGTGACTGTTTGAGCGTCCAATCAAGACATCCTGTTATGGCTCAAAAATAGCTCCAAAATGAAAGTTGTGCTGATGTCAGCTATGTTACCCTGGCTGTCAGCTGGGCTTCCTTCCTGCATCATAGCAACCTCGAAATAGGACATCAACTCAACCAAACAATAAACTAATGCACAAAGGACTTGAACGCCAGTCTCCTGGGTGAAAGTCCTGTGCTTTACCCATTCAGCCACCACAACTTTCTGTCAGAATGGACTTTGAAGCTTTGTAAAGTACATCACCTGACTTTCTGGCATAAAGTCCTGAAGGCTAATTCTCCCATGTGCGATCAAAGATGGCTCGATTTAAGACTTTTGGCTCTTAGGAATACCACAAACTTAAAAGAAAAATGAGACAGGAATATAATTTACATATACATATTGGCTTTATAAATGACATAAATGTCTTTTTTATATTTAAAAATTGGGCATCAAGTTAGTCTTTGGAGGGGAATTGGACATCACAGTGTGGACGTCTGATCGCAACCATTTCACAACCAAACAAATAAACTGTCAATAAAATGTTGTTGTATACAAAAAAAATAAATAAATACAAAATCATCAATCATTAGCTTTTTTTCTTTTCCTAATTTGTAAGAGAGGGTCTTACTGGCCAATTACTAGACGTGGAAACATTACCATCTCGCCGTCTGCCTCATTACCGCATTGCAATCTTTGGCGTCCATCAGGGACCATTTTTGGCCAGGGACACGACGTCACCGTCTGAGCAATGTTTGCTGGGTTACTGTCAGGAAATGCTTTGAAATAAAGTGGCCATTGTTCTATACACCACTGAATCCTTCTCCTCCTCAGGATCTTCTCAGTCAGACGTTTGTCTCAGTTTCTCAGACTGAAAATTCTTCTGTCTGTCTTCAGGCTGCTCCTTTCCCCAACTTCCACAGTACCAAAGTTTTTCCTTCCACCCTTCCTCATCTTCAATCTTCTTACCATCCATTCACTCCTTTCTTCCCAGGCTGCTGCAGCTAGTAAAGTCACAAATACACAACCTGACAACTTTCAGCTGTGTTTACTAAACAATAATGGAATTAGGTTGTTAAATCCGGAGGGTTTCAAGAATAGCAGCGATGATGACGACAGTAAATCAGCCTTACTAAATGCAGCTTTAATACTTTGGGACAGAATTATGCTCCATTTTACAAAAGCAAACCACAGGAGTCAAACGCACAAGAGTGATCAATGTTTTGTATATTTCTCAGGATAAACTGCTTCAATGCTCTGAGCACACAGTGTCCATTTGGAGGATATAAAATGTCTGGGAATGGACGTGAATTGTGAGTATGACTTGACTGCCTGCCCACTGAATATACACAAATTAACCACAATATTACTAATACTGACTTTATGTTTTGAAAGCCTACTTTCCAAAATTGCTTAACATCCCATAAATCTTAATCTAAGAGGATACTGCAATATTTCTGCCTCCAGCAATGTATACACTATATTTCAGTTTATTTTGTTTAAACAAAACGAGCAGCATTTTTATTTTTTCCTGTTTTCTGTTTTCAGGGGAGAGTGTGGCTTGAAGGAGTACTCAGAAGTGAAGACCATCACGATGAAGATGGTCAGCAAGAACTCTTAAGGCAGCAACACTTTTTTGGGAGGAGGTAGCGTCTTCCTCATCACTGACCCGCCTCTTGTTGGTCCGTCCACGGTGGCAAACCACATTAACCATCAAAACTAGTTATCTCCAGGGTAACTACAGGCTGTGACCACTCGCTGCCCTCCCAGTTCCTCCATCAACTCTGCATTGCTCGCCACGGACAGTCAGCCAATCCCTGTCCAGCTATCTCCACCCAGCTTGAGTTTGTGGACTGTCTCCAGTCTAACCGACAACCACTGAACTACCCCCATAATGTATACCTCCTCCACTAACTACACTAAAGCACTCACAGAGACGATGGGGAGGCTGCTCTGACTGCAAACCCCAATAACAACCCCCCCCCAGCCGCTACACCCAGATCCTCAAACCCCCACCCGATGCTGGATGCTCAGAGACTCAGTCGCCGCTCTTGCAATCAACCCTTTACTAGCAACTTTTCATGTGATGGGAGGCAGTTTTTCTTTGTACTGTGCGGTATGATCGTCAAAAAACCTCATGTGTCATTGTCTTGGTAGAATTTATGCAAGCATGTCAGCTCATTCAAGACCACTGATGTTGTCCGCCTCAGATATGAATGGATGAAATGTTAATTCAGAATTAAAATGGATTTCTAATTGTCTTTGTTTATATTTTAGCTTGTATGACTTTAACACTGTATGTCAAACCTTTGACTGATGTAAACGTGAAGATTTTAACCTCTTAAAAAGCATTTTACTCTCACCTGCTAAAAGAGGAGTAGATGTATTTTAAACATTATGTAACTGATTTTCATTGTTGTCCATCTATGTTTATGTTTATACAATCATATGCTATAAAATTATAAAATGACCATAGTTTTTTTCAGTAAAATCTTTTTTTTTTACTGGAAAACTCTTTTTCCCTGAATGTTCACTACATTATTAGGATTCTGTGTCCACAGTCACGTCCTAGCCTCCTTCGCTGCTCAGTAGTTCACACAGTTTACAGTTTTTTATTCAGGACTGAGATCTTTGTGGACACATTTTATGTTCAACAAATGGGAGATATGGTCAGTATTATTTATATAGTCCTATATCATTCATTACTCCATTTTCTGTAACCATTTTTCCTGTTAGAGGTTGTAGGGGGGCTGGAGCCTATACCAATTGACATTAGGCGAGAGGCGGGGGTCACAATGTCAACACATTCACACTTATGGGCAATTTAAAGTCACCAATTAGCCTAGCTGACACGGGATGGACAAACAAACTCCGCACAGAAGGGCTCCCCTGTCCTGGGGTATAGGAACCCTCTTGCAGGAACCCAATGCTAACCACTGCACCACCGTGCTGCCAGTCCCCCATATCACAAAATTATCATCAAGACGCTTTGCAATTTGTAGGCATATGACACCCTCTGTCCCTTTATCCTCACTTCAAATGAGGAAAAATTCCCCCAATAAAACCCTTTAACGGAGGAAAAAATGGTAGAAACCATTAGGAAGAGGAGCTGAGGAAGGATCCCTCTCCTAGGACAGACACTTTTGTCTGTACAGAATAACCACAAGAGTAAAATTACAGTAAAGCCAATCCACATAACAATTCTACATAGAATGTAAACATATATGAATAAAATGGTAAAAAACAGACCTGGGTCAAGCACGTCGATTATTTAATTTGTCCTACTTGGAAATACTTGTTGATGCATCTTATTTGGAAATAAACAGGCCTGAAGAGAGGACTTAATTGAAATATTTGTCAACACCGAACACATGTATTTTAATTGCTGTAGAAGTACTGAAATACATATGTAATTAGCTACATCGTTATAAATTCTCAGACAACCTATCATGCAGGTTAACTAATGACACGGAGGTAGTATCCGGTAGTAGGACAACAGTAGGACCAGCACAGATGACAATAATAAAATAAATGGTGGCTGAATTCCATTTAGCTTCTTCGGGTCCAGGGTCCTGGTGTTCAGTTTTACTAGTAACTCATGTGCTTGTTTTACTGTGAAACGCTACAGTAGATACAATTACAAACTACAGAGAGGTTGAAAAAAATGAAATGAAAAATGAAATTGAAATTGAAAAAAATAAACATATTTAGAGGATCTACAACAAATAAATTCAGATCTAAACATGCAGCAGATCAGATACTTTCACAAACATGGCTGCTTTTGTGTCTACATCAGATAGACAGCTCATCAAAATGACATTCTGTGGAGGGTTGTGACCAACAGAAGGGAGGAGGGTGGGATGAGCAACTTCCAAGGCCACATGTTGCTTAATGACAGCTTCTGACATTTACAGCATCTGACATTTACATGAAGTAAAACCTGGTTACATAACTGCACCAGTGTCTAAATTTAGACTATGTCATAGCCACCGAGTAAAGTCAACAACTACTGTAAAATGAAAGAGTGGGGGAACAGGTACAATGAACATTGATAGAAGGTGTAGATACACAGATTTACTGTCTCCTTAAAATGCAGTTTGAAATATTTGAAAGGCCAGACAAACCAACATTACAGATCTTTGTTCACAGTAGATATTACAGGATAAGCACAGGTGTTGCTTAAAACATTACAGAGAAATTCTGATATTTTTGAACCTGTACCCTATTTTCCCATGTTTTTGTGTGTAAGTGAATAATGGAGAAAACAATTTTTCTAACAGTAGTCCAGTATTGTGAAAGAGAGACAACTGCGGGCATGACAGGCTCAGATTGCTATTGGAAGTGTCTGACAACATTACAGAAGAGGCCCTACAGAGTGTTTGTTATTGTGACCAAGTGTTACTCAAGGAGAATCTCGCTCTGAAATCTTGCCAGGGATGACTTGTTGCAGGAAAAACAATGGTGGAAATGTTGGTGAGAGTTGGAGAGAGGAGTACTGGGAAGATTTTGTTGTGCTGGAGCTCAGAATGCATAGCTTCATGTTATCTAAAAGATTTTTACTGTCATGGCTGAATATGTAGCTGATCTTGACAATGTCAAAAAGTCTGCAAGACTTCTCATTGAGCAAGAAAAATGTTTTGTTTCTTAGTAGGGTCTTTTCTGTAATATTCACTTTTGAATGGACATAAATTGACGGTACAGTTTTGTCGCTACAGCAGTCAGGGCTCGCTCCATACTGGACCACAAAATAGTGTCCCTTTAATGATGGCTCTGTTCTGTTGAATTGCTCCAGTAAGCCACTACAGTGTGACAGTGAGCCAGCATACACATCACCAGGATTTTGAAACTGAAGCTAAAAGGAATTAAGCCATCATTCATTTTATTATTTACACCTGTGCTTTCCCTACTGTGTCAAAATGCCAGCTGTGGAAAAGTCCTATGGAGAAAAACAATTTGCTTTTTTTAGTCTGCTGATTGCTCTGATTAATCTGCTGCACGTGCTGATTTCATGAGTAGAAATACAAGCATGGTTTCTGCTGTTGAAATTAAACTAAAGAGACAACAAACTGTTAAAAACGAAGGAAATTACATCAGTTTAAAGTGATATCACTTTTCTACAGTATATTGTATAAACGATTATGATTAGGGGCTCCTCCACATGCATGTTGGCTTATATTTGACACACACACACACACACACACACACACAGTTACATTAATCGACTGCCCTCTCTGACATATTGAGAGAGAGAAGTGTGGACATGTGCCCATTGAGAGGGGCTAAAACAACAGAAATATGAGTCAGCCTGGTGTTGGTGTTCTTGTTGGAGATGAACAGATGTGAAGACACTGCACTGGAGCCTGTCTTTAGCAATCAGCTTTTAAATTATCAGGGTACATTTTCCCACACTTCCCTTCCCAGTTGGTATCTGCATTCTTTCCAAAGAGATGAAAAAGTGATCTCTTTATTGCAGCACTCTGTTAACACAACAGGGAATGTCAGCGCAGACTATGAACACACACTCTCAAGTTTAAAGTGCAGCCATGAACCTTCATGTGTCTTGTAGCAAGAGAACTAATGAAATAAGGTGGCACTGGGTCCCACACCAGAAAGGCCACAATAAAACTAACTGTCCTATAGTTTCATATCTATTTTAGGTGCCCCATGCTGCTTTGACTCTTCAGCTCCTTTGGGTATTTCACTGCTGCAAAGACGCTCTCTTCATAAAACTAGGCTGTCTATGCCGTAGAAAGACGCAAATACTTTTGAAATTGGTGTTTCATGACCAGAGAAACCTGAGGAACAGTTTCATGGCATTAGCTTTTGTTCATAAGGAGGAAAACCTACAACTACCAGAATGCACTACCCCACACAGGACCAAAGCTAAAAGCCCCCACTAGCGGGTGTTGTAATGTGAGCTGCCAGTCTGAAAACAATATGGCGGTGGATTTTAACAAATGATCTCTTGATCCTAATTGCCTTGTTTCACCATTTGTTTGGAATTTGGTCTGAGTTTGAAAGAGAAAGAGAGAGGGATGGCTCTTTCTCGCTCTCAATCCGCTTCAATAAACTTTGTGTCCTTGGGCGCCTGTGGCTCAAAAGTTAGGGCGGTCCGTCTGCATGTGGAAGTTTCCATGGGCAATATACTGATCCCCAAGTTGCTCCCAATGGCTGTTCCATTTGTGTGTGACTGTCTGTGAATGGTTTCTGAGTAGCAGGTGGCACCAGGTATGGCGCCAACAAACACACTTCACCTGGGAGAGCAGTGTTTACATCCCATAAGATTCTAAAGCTAAACCCTGCTCTTTTTTTCCTTAACCTAACCATGTGCTTTTGTTGCCTAAACCCAACCATGTGTGTTTGTTGTTGAGGGGGGAAAAAAGCCAATTTGTGGTGTTGTACCAACGTAATGCATTTATTTTGAAAGATACTGTATGCAAACATTAAATTTCCTGTGAAAAAGGAAGTGTATCTTGAAAGACATGGAGTGGACATGGTGTCCAAGAACGTCAGCAACCAACGCACCCAGGGTACCTTTCAGGTCTTGTCTGGACGTGGAAAGTCCATGACCAAACGTCAAAATGTGACCAGGTTGGAGTAAGAATTTGTTGAAAAAGCACTATACAAGCGCAGTCCATTTACTATTTACGAATAATCTTTGTGTCACACAAAATGGGGAAGGACAATCTGTAGATCGAGCAACGGCCCCATAGCAGGGAGCTCTATGTGCTATGTATCCCTTAAATCTTTGTTTTTACTAGTGCAGTGCAGGACAATGTGGCATGGAGGTCTGTAGCTGATGCACAGAGGTGTTTATGCTTATTGTGTTGTTCAATGCAATATTCTCTGAAACACCAGGTAAAAACAAAATATCAACAAATGTTACTGAAAGAACGATTCTCGAAAAGTGCCTGAACACTGACCATGTGATAATGCCAAGTATTATATTTGTGTACTATTACAACTGTCCTTACCCCAAAGTCAAAATTATGTTATACTGCACTCTTTTCTCGGGGTGGCCACTCTTTCCATGAGGCCGTTTGTTAGCCTGTGCTATCGCTCATGTTCTTCAATACCCAAAGTCTCGTCTGACTGCAGTCAGACGAGACTGGGTTATTTCTTTTCAATAATTTAGGGCCATTTGACGGAGTCGTTATTAGAGATCATTAGAGATGTCTGTACAGGGGAACCTGCCAGTCTTCCCTGTTGAGCTGAAAAGCGTAGAATGTGCAGTGGGAACCTTGTGACAGCAATTGAGAGGTGCATGACCAAGCAGCACAGCAACTTTCAGAGCCTTTGTGCTTGATGGAAAATGGGTGATTACATAATTTCCTGATGCTTGGGGCACTGCAGAAAGATAAACCATGCATTAATCTCCAGTAAGTGACAGCTTTCTTCAGAAGTCCTGAGAGGCAAGTGAGAAAAAAAACTGTTTTCTCTCTTGTGTTTATGACTGAAGAACAGCTGAAGCAAAGGTTTGGCCAATATGAGTGTTTTTTCCACTTGTTTTCAGAGATGAAAAGAAAAGTAATAAGTAAAAATGATCTTGGCAAAACTTTTTCCCCCCATCTGTTTCACAGATGAAAAAAAATCAAGGAATTTATAAAGATTATCCCGGAGGAACTTTTTCACCTGTTCTTAAGTCACAAACACAGGAGAGAGCTCAATTTAGATCAGACAAATGAATTGCACATTTTTTTCTCATTTGCCTCTCAAGGCTTCCGTAGATTCTTAACTTTTTCCACAATCTATTATAAACATATCAAAGAGACTGCAACGTTACACATTAGAAATAATTGAAATTTAAAAACTGATTATCAGAACATATAATTTAACCTTACTGGATTAATGTTTCAGTACTGAGTTGAAAAGTGCTGTCAAACTCTTCTTTAAATCTACATTTAAACTTCTAAAAGGAAAAAAAAATCAGTCCAATCAAGTCCACATCTTCTTAGTGAGAACCCTTTTAGAAAGCCTTATTTTCTGAGTGTGTACAAGCATAACCCCGCAGCTGAGGACATCAGCTTGGAAACAGACCACACACTGACAGGGACATTCACCCTTTGTCCAGATGGACCCTTATCCTTCAAAAGCTGTGTTTATAGCTTTAGATAATGTTCCAGTTATATGGCGTTGCTATTCTTATTATCTGTTCTTTCATTATATTTTCTCACATGAGTTAACTGACCAACAAACAGACATGTCCCCTCTGTGTTTGTTGGATCATGTGTGATGTTGTCTGGTCC